AATGAGAATCACAGAACTAAATTATAAAATAAGCAAGGCTTCCAAGGAAGCATAACGCTGACCTTGCGGGGATCAGAAGAGAGGGGTCTGGCATATACACACACAGCTAACAAAATTTGTCAGAAACCTGAAATCAATCGTGCCTCGTTTCACAGAAGCACAACACACCACTCACTCGTCAATGCACCTGTTGACTCATCTTTGCAGTGTGTTAAAAAAAAATGTACACATAAAGATGACCGCAGTACTGACTTTGCATTCTGAATACAGCTCAGTGCAGCCAGGTTTAATGTAAATGGGAAGTGGGGCGTTTCACAGTGTCATATTGTTGGTGTTTTTGTTCCTCTCGATTTTAGCAACCTAAATTTCCTGTCATGCTAATTATAGGGACAAACAAATGAAGCGATCTTTCATCTGGCAGACGTGGAGAGAGGCGAGTTTGTTTATCAGTAAGTTTGGTCACTCCAGTGAGAGAGGATAATACATGGACTAACCAGGTCCATGAACAGAATGGGGAAAAAACAACAACATTCTGGTCTGTAGCTGTATTGTGAAAATATAACTAAAAGGTACATTCATATGCATATATGAAACACAAGCACGTGCATATGAACAAACATGCCTGACCGCATAAAAACATACCATTCATTGGCTTTATTAAAGCGAATACATAGGGCAGCCATTTTGAAAGTAGGGATAAGCAGTTAAGCAGAATGCACTACTCTGTACGTACAACTGAGCAGAGAGAACACCTCTGTCATGTCTGTAGGAATATCCCCTGATGTATAATGCCTGCACATACAGATGCTGAATTCTACCAGCTACAGCATTTAAAGTCAATGATTCGTAGGCTTCCCGTGAGCCAGACTAGAAAAAGAGGTTAGAAGATGGATGGATAGATGGATGGATGAATGGAAGGAAGGAAGGAAGGGATTTCTAGGCTTGTACATTGATTACTAGTAATTACCATAAATGTGAATTAGAATAGAATTTCCTCTATTGAAATGCCAGGGTACAATAATGTCACTCTGAAGCAGTGTGGCGCTAGGTCAGTGGGAGCCTTACAGCTGCACTTCTTGTACTTACTATAAGCATTATTTAGTTACTTTAAATTTTAATTAAAAACAACACTAACCAGTGCTCCAAGTGTCACTGAAGATTACAGTACAGGAGAAGAAGATATTTTCCAAGATGACTAGTGTGGACTGGCATATTAATGCTGGGCTGGACATCTTACAGAAGGCGATTCATAACTTATGGGCTCATGCATCTTATATGGTAACAGAATAAAATAGTTGAAATGACTCATAAGGAGGTAAACACGAAAAGGGATGATAAAGAAGAGTCAGGCTGCTTGGAATATTACCCTGCCCTGAGTGCCAAGAAACTGAGCTCGCCTCACAATTAGGTCCATTTTAGGATGGACTTGAAATAAATCACCCCGGAAAGGCAGTCATTTTTGTCCATGTCCATACTGTCTGCAAATGAGACAATGTGCTCTCTCACAGTCTTAAATGAACATGTCATACGGTCACGAGTAGGGACAGGCCGATCCACGTTTTTTCAGTTCCAGTCCAATTCCAATGAACAACTGCCGATGCCGACACAGATTCCGATGCAAGAGCTCTTCTTATTTTAATATAATAAATATATATAATATATATAAATATTTATACTTTATATCCTATCTTTTAAAGTAATAAATCCAAACGAAAACAAAAACAAAAAATCTTTAATTATGCTACTAGAAACATAACGCACTGTCCCACCTCCTTTGTACATCTTGTTTTAAGTGTTTTTGTGGCATTTGCAATTCAATATGAATATCTTCCAAGCAAGGATCCACAAAATGCCCCACAATATTTCTCACATTGGCAACAGCATCACTTACACTTCATTACGATAGCAGCCCCTCAAATATCAAAAGCTGCAGCGAGTGTGCAAAACAGCCCAAGCTTGTGACTCCGAAATCATCCACTGCTTTTTTTCAGATTACAGTGATCCCCGCTTATCGCGGAAGTTAAGTTCCAGACCCATCAGTGATAGGTGAAAATCCGTGATATAGAAAGACAGTATAAACATTTTTTTATGGTTCAAGCCTTAAAATACCCCTCCCACATGCTTTAAACACATGTAAACTTATTAAAACAGACTTTGTAAACACATATATGTGGATGTCGGGTTAAGGATATGAGTAACATAATAATAATTATATATATATATATATACACACAGTGGGACCTCGGATTACGAGTAACGCGGTTTTCGAGTGTTCCGCAAGATGAGCAAAGATTTTTTAATAAATTTTGACTTGGAAACCGAGCAAGTCCTGGTTTACGAGAGCCAAGTATCATCAAAAATCATATGGCACACATGCGCTCCTTGTTTTTCTTGTTGTTACGTGCGCTCGGCTTCAAAACAAGAAGCGCATGCGTGTGCTTCTTGTTTTGACGCCGAGCGAACGTCATCACAACTGAACCAATGGTTATTCACTATCTCACGCTGCGGAATTGTGGGTAATCGTCTCCCCATGCTCGGTCTCAGCCGGCATGCCTCAATCATATAGTCAAAATTTAGCAGAAAAGCACCATCTTAATAAGTGTGTAGCAGTGCGAGCGATGAATCTGTTTAACGACAATGCAATGTCCACATTTTTGCGAAATCGAAAAGGAGGCAAAAGAGGCTGTCATTGGATGGGTTCCTTGTTAAAGTCGCACAAACAGAAAAAGATTCCAGTGAGCCAACAGATAGCAGTGATTCCGTTAATTATAGTGAAAGTCGTCCTACAAAATAACCCTCCATACGAGTGCTTTGGATTACAAGCATGTTTCCGGAAGAAATTATGCTCGTAAACCAAGGTACCACTGTATATATATATAGATACACACACACACACATCGCAGAGAACTGTGATGCGTCAGGGAAAAATCTGCGATATAACGGGAGTGAGATAGCTGAACCGCGATATAGCAGGGGATCACTGTACTTGCATTGTCTCGTTTAGTGGGATTTTTTACTAAATACTTCCACTTCTCGAAATTTCGTTTTTACAAAGACAGCAAATCAATGTGCTATCAGTTGCTGTTTCAAACATAAAATGCTTCCTGATCATAACTCTTATCCAATGGTCTTATGCTCCTCATACTGTGAAAGGGTATGTGCATGACGTCACAGCAGCGCTCACACCCACTGAGTACCAAAAGAACGGTTTAACATGAGATAGGAGCTATCTTTTTACAGACTGCTGAAAACTAAACAAGTAAGTATCAGACATAGATCAGTCACATATAGTCAATACCCGATCTGTCTAATAGGTCTGGATCATGCTGAATATCGGGTTGGTGCATCTATAGTCACGATAATATATAAGAGAAGCGCAGCTTCAGCCATGAGACACTCTCACTTAGATACGCTACCAAACCCTACCTGGCCCTGCCCACCTCCCTCTGTGTCAACAGGAAGCCCAGGTAATCAAATTCCATAACACTTAACCAGTGCTTAATCAATGGCTCGTAAACTAACATTAATCCATCCTGAGTTTGGGGAGGGGGGGAAGTGAAGGCCCAGAAGGAGGCCCAATTGAAGTCATTTTGTCATGAGTCTGGGAAATATGTCTCGTGGGCCTATTCTGTGCTGGTGCTTAAAACTTAACCTTCAACACAGATGACTACACAAGGACCGCCATTAACAGGGGGACCAAAGCAATGAGTCAAAAGCCAGCCCAACATGCACCGGTGCACAGCAGAATCCTCATCCACACGCCTCTCTCTTCTCCCTCGATGATGATTCTATCCTCCAGGGTGAGCCTGGCTCACAGCCGGCTGGCACTGATGGCTGCTCAGGTCGCTTGGGCATATTTAACACCACCGCTATGGGGTTCCGGTGATCAGTCTCACTCCAGCACACTTCAACAGGCCACCGGACTTCCAGGGGTACCCTTCGCAGATACGGAGGTGCAGAAGGTCCCAGCGTTTATAATGTGACGTACTGTGCCTGGTACGTTTTGTTTTTGTGACACACCCTGCAAAATTTATTAAGGCAAGTAAGATGCCTGTCTTCTCATCAAATCACGTGGACTGACGTGTCACCTTTTCCGGGAACCGACAATCTTTTGGCTAAAACTCTGACTCATGGCTCAGGTACGCCCCAGCTTCGCACTGCTAAATCCGCCGGGACACGTCACATTGTGACAGGAAGCATCTCCGAAGCACACAATGGATGTAAATGAGTTAATTCCCTCAAGAGCATCCAAGACAAGATCCATTTCAGCATTTCAGGACTCATCATGGAACAGTATTCTGCCAGGTGAGATTAAACCAGACCATGCAGGTGCTTGGTACAATGAGTGTGCAGCTCCATTCCTCCCTCAATGTGAGCCTCACATTAAATGTGCCATTTGAGTGTTCCCAAACAGTGCGCCTCATAGTGGCTGTCTGGGGGAACTAGGAAGGGGTCATTGAGAGAGGACCTATTACCTAACAACAGAAAGCTAGAGGTCTCACTGATGACCTCAAGAACCACAAGGCAGATTGTTAAATACTTCACTTGGTGCCATGGTTACTTTGCACCAAGCACTGGAAAACAATGCCAAAATAATTTAGAAACTGATGAAAGAGGGGCAGTTAAACAGAAAATTATTGTTTTATAAATTTAAAAAAAACAGGATTACTAGACAAAATATCCTTTCTGCTTGTGTGGCAAACATCTCTGTGCCCTTAAGTTCAAGAGCACAAGGTTGGAAACTGAACCTCAGCCAGATTCCTTAAAAAAAAAAATTAGACTGACCTCTGTTGAATATGGTCGAAAGACGAGAGAAGAAAGTGGTGGTGGAAGTATCCAAATTTGTGTGAAGCAACAGAGATGGCTGACTTTTTCTGTTCTACTCGTGGGTGCAGAAAAGTATGGATTGCAGAGTATAGAGGCAGAGTATGGCAGCAGAGTATGATAAGGGAGTAGGGGTCATACTCCATTACAATTACGACAGCTGATGTTGTACTCACATCTGAGGCAGGACCCTTATCTGCTCCAGGACAGGAGAAGGTAACAAATTCATGGCAGCGCTTGTGCACCACGAAGCAGCAGACTGTAAAGACAGGAGAGGAGAAGAGTAACTGTCAGTTAACGAAGGCAGATGGGAACAATGGGCCGTGTGTGTCGGGAGGGGGGCTATCAGCGAAAACAGCAAGAGGAACAGGTCAGAATCAAAATGGCAATTCTTCAAGCCAACCGGGACAAAACAAATCAGGGGAGCCATTTACAGAGAAGAGATTAGAAGTTTATGTTCAACAGCCATTTTGGTAGGGACAAAGCAGAGTCCAAAATAACCTAAAAAGTAGAGGCTGAGATTTCTAAATGGCACCACACACACACACACACACACACACACACACACACAATCCCTGTAAATATAACTACTATTGCGATTATTTAACAGGCAAAAACAAAAAACAGATGCAAGATACGCTGTAGTGGAATCAGTCACAGGGACGTATTTGGCATTCGTACAATGTACACGATTAAATGCCTTTCGTGAATCCATCGTGCATGCAAAAAAAATGAGCAGCATGGCGCTTTCGTCACTCTCCTCGTTCTTCCCCTACAAGCACGCGATGGCAAGCAGGTGTGTGGAGCGTGATGACTAATCTCCAGGCGATGGCATGACGTGATTCCTCTGTGCCGTACGAACTGGCAGAGGGCGGTGCGTGGCTCTGCAGGCAAGTAATATCACCACTGGGCCTTTGATAACCCCCATGAGGCTTAAAAATAGCCAACCCTGCGCTCGGACCACAAGCTTCTCTTTAACCGGCTTGAGAGTCTCTCATAAGGTAGGCTTATGCTTGACAGAAGGTAGACGGCACATATAAGGTGACGGTCCAAATAAAGAGCGAAAGCATCATTTGCGTGGAAGCATACCACATTAAAAGTGAATGAGAACGCAGTTGTCTGTCAGTATTTGAAAAGCAGAACTTGAATATCACCACGGAACGAATGCAAAGCAAATACATCATAAAAGAAGACATTCAGGTTTGACAGACTCACTCAATAATGCGAGATTAGATGTGCCATAAATATGTCCCATTTAACATCTCCAAGCCTGTCTTTGCCATAACTAACTTATTTATTATTTTGCTTATTGTATTATCAAAATAAATTGCTGATAAAACTAAACCTTACCCCGTCGCTTAGCCACATCATTTTACATAATAGGATACATAATAGCCACTTCACATTATTTTTTGTTACCGTGTTGCATGTTTTGGACAGGGCTGAACGAGACTAGAACAAGATCACATTGCAATATTTAGTAGTTGAAAATTAACTATATAGTCAAATGTAGAAGTTGTCTTTAACTTATCTACCAACGGAGTAACTTGGGGTTGCCCACCGATTTCCTTATACAGTAAAACCTTGGATTGCGAGTCTCAGTCGGCGTGCCTCACATGTATAGTCAAAATTTAGTAGAAAAGCATCACCCGAATAAGGGCGTAGCAGTGCCAGCAATGAATCTGTTTAACGACAATGCAATGCCCACATTTCCGCGAAATCAAAAAGGAAACAAACGCAGCTGTCATTGGATAGGTTCCTTGTTAAAGTTACACAAAACTACAGACAACAGACAGCAGTGATTCCATTAGTTAAAGTGAAAGTCAACAAACTGTCTACAAAATAACCCTCCTCTTCTCCTCTCTCTCGTCTCCCTCACACCATCCACGATTCTTTTCAAAGGTAAAGTGTATGTTAATTAGTTTTACATATTTTTACTTTATATTTTGTATTAATCATTTTTATATGAATATTTTAGGGTTGTGGAACGAATCATCTGAGTTTCCATTATTTCTTATGGGAAAATTCGCTTTGATATACGAGTGCTTTGGATTACAAGCACGTTTCCGGAACGAATTATGCTCGCAAACTGTATTGTCCAAAAACAATAAACTTAAGTGAATTGGAGTGCCTGAACTGACCATATATGTGACTGAGTGTGTGCACACTGCGACATGTGATTGGTTGCTGCCTTGCGTGAATTCCAATCTATTATATTATATTATATTATATTATATTATATTATATTATATATTAACAATTACTGAACCGTCAGATTTATCAATACATTTCTCTATTATTAATATAATCGATAGTGACAATCCTAATGGAATGCTGTCTTACCATACATGCAGTAGGCATCTTTCTCCCCTTTACCTAAGTGCTATTTACAGAAACAACCATGCAACAAGTGGGAAGCCATACGACCAAAGAAATTATACATATACATAAATACACACAATCATAGACCACTAAATGGGGACCTTCCATTCATTTCTATGGGAAAATCCCTAATCCCAATCACGACACCCTTAATCCCTACCGAAAAAAACAGACAAGTACCCAACAGACAAGTACCCAACAGACAAGTACCCAACAGACAAGTACCCAAGCGCTTTAGGGGTTTTCATGCGGAGACTAACTTGCAGAGGCTGTTCCTGCCTTGCTCCAGTTGTACACACAGTTGTATGATCATCTCAAATAAGCCGACACGTTGGATGTGTTTCCAGCAACATAGCTGACAGACAGTCTTGGTCTTATCAGCTTCTCTCTCCAGTGTTGATGTGTTTTATTGGGAAACCAAAATGTTCCCAAATTGCCAATAATGACTGACTGTAACTAGCTTTAGCCATAACCAACTCACAGCAACAATTACAAGTGTCACGTAGGACCGGGACATGGTGAAAGCAGTCTGAGCCGATGGATCTCGCTTGCAGGGTGTCAACTAGAGTTGGCAGCATGACGGTAAAGAGTCCCAGCATGGGGGGGGGGGGCTGGCATGGGTGGGGAAACCTCGGCTTGCTGCAGGTCGCCCCAACAATACTGGCAGTCAGACGGAGCCCTTCACCAGGATACGGCTTCCCACCGCGTGGCTGGCATTTGCCAGGAACGAGACGGTGAATTCAGATAACCGTGGTGGCATGTCCAGTCTCCGGGTATGATGGGAAACGTGGCAGCACGCTCCTGCTTTCCAGGTGTCATGTGACCTGCTGTCCGCAGGCCTGTCGCGATAATTACGTTATCAACGTGTACGATATCTGTACATTACCTCGGTAATTTTTTTCTGACATCGATATTGGCAAAGTCTGTTTACGTTTGTTTACATTAGGATGAATGCCGGGATGCTTCTGCCCTCTCGTCTCAGACGTGTGTATGTCACAGTGTCAGATCATCCACATTCCCGAACGTTCTTACTTCTAGTGCCAACGTGCCAGGCAACCCTGTACTTTGACATCAGGCCTGCAGTAGCACTGTAGAACAAAGTTGCTCTTAAAAGTTCCATTTATGAAGTCTGGTATAGATGTTAAGACAAACTGTGTACTACAGTATGTACTTACAGGATGCAAGGCAGGGTTGTAATCATTAATGAAAATGTTTCCATAAACTGAAATAAAATGATACAAAATAAAAAAACGACAAATCAATGACAAGTATAAATACTGCTCCTGAAACCAACTGAAACAAAATTAAATGTCAAATACATCCCGTTACTGTTTTTGAATAACATTCTAAACTAATGATTTGTTTATCTTTGTGCCTCTCGTACAATGCACTTGATCCATAGGTAACGGCTCTACATCACATTTTGTAGTAGCCAGCCAAGTCTCTCTCTAGAAATAAGATTACTGAGACCCTAAGTAAAATATATAACAACTAAACAGATGTGCGTCTTTAAAATAAGAACTAATAAAACCACACCTACAAATAAACTAGATTTCAAATGAAAATAAAGAAAATATAAAACCTAAATTAAAAAATCAAAACAATAATAGCACTGATACAAAAACATACATGGTTAAATGACATTGTAGTACATTTTATTTTGCAGCCATCTGGGAGATTTTATAATACTGTAGGAAGCAATCGTATAAAAGCTGATATTTCCGGACTTTCTCAATCAACCATTCTTCAAATCCACTAGCAATTTTTGTTTTCATTCTGACCATAGAGGGTAGAAAAGGCATTTATAAACAACCTTTGGTCCAACAATTTTCTGATTTCCTGCTACCCCTCCCCTGGCCAATGAACGATCAAGGTTCATTTGCATCACTGAGCAGAGCCTCCACGAAACTGGTTTGCCAATATATTGCCTGCTAAGGAATGAATGACTCCTTGTACCCCCATGCCAAATATTTAATATTTAGTGCAATTTTTGTTAACAGAGCATGAGAGTTCATTTTTGCCTATTGTTGGGCTATGTATTTTTGTGTATGTTTTATTTAGGATGAAAGTCTATAATCTTAAAAATTAAAAGTTCCATGCTCTTTCAAAGGGTGCACTTCCATAACTAAGCCATTATTATATCAGTGGGATAATATGGTCTTAAAATGACTATAATATTGTTTACCAGCAATTTTCTCTGGGGCAATATATCGTCCAACAAAAGTAGTTAACGTGACAGGACTAGCTGTCCCTGACCAAAACAATGAATGGGGATAGACTGGTAACTATTATATGGCCAGCTAATCTCATATGCTAACATTAAATATCTACTATCCATCCATCCATTTTCTGTAACCACTTGTCTTATACAGGGTCCTGGGGAGTCCGGAGCCTATCCTGGAGGCTACGAGCACAAGACAGGGAACAACCCAGGATGGGGCGTCAACCCATTACAGGATGGGGCGTCAACCCATTACAGGGCACAATCACACACCATCCACACCTATGGGCAATATGGTAACTCCAAGCGACCTTAGCGTGTTCTTGGGCTAGGGGGCGGACAGAGTACCTGGAGAAAACCCTATTCCCATTCTTGTGGGAATAGCAAGGTTCTGTTATTGACAGAATATCTAAAGTATACAACATTTAGAACCACTTCATCAGACGCTGTGCTTTCAACCAGCTGCTTCCTAATGGAAACTCCACACACGGAGACATGGTGGAGACTCAATCCCTGGTCCCAGAGGTGAGAGGCAACAGTGCTGACCACTACGCCACCATGCCAGCCTAAAATATCTAATGCATGCAAAATGCACAACGCTACCCAGACATACAGTATGTATTACCTAAACCATGGTTTCTCAACCTTTCCAACCA